ACTGTAGAATTGAGTGTGTGAAATGTCCTTCAAACAGGCTGCAGCTTTACTCTGAGATGAGTGAAACTGGAGCTGATATCACCACGGTGACAGAGAGATTTGTTTGCGATGCAATGGATGAGTAGTTACCTTGACCTTGGCGGTGGCGGTGAGGACGGTGTAGTCTGGGTTTTCCAGACAGTCCTGTTTGAGCCGCTGTGCCTCGGAGCCGATGAGCAGGTGAAAGTGTGTTGCCAGGTGGCGTCTCAGCAGGGTTTTGTTGGGAGGAATGTTGAGCAGAAGGGCGAGCGCTTCCACGTTGAAGCGAGGCTCCAACACCTTCAGAGCGTCAGACATTGAGAAAGCATCATGGTGAGAGGTCAAAAATGGAAACAGAAGGTTTTTTTAAAATAGTACATAACAGTGTGTTAGTGTTGCCACTCTGAAGTCATAAAGAGAAGCTGCCTGCAGTGTGATGAACAAACAGGGAGACCCCCACAATGAAATAAGTTAACTTTCTCAACTTAATTACATCTCATCCTGGACAATGTATTGAACATACTGAATTAATATAATTTCTTTTTTAAAATGTTTTTATGGTTAAAGATTCCTTTCTGTATGCCTGTGCCACAGACTAGAATACATTTCTTCCTTTCATTAAGGATGAATCAGATCCTTCCGCCTTTAAGGAAAAAACATCTGCAAAAAAAAATATACTACACTGTACTAAATACACACTATACTATTTTAAAAGACATTCGCATACGTATATACAGACACTTGAATAAATAGTTAACAAGTCTGAACTCTTCTCCACCCTTGAATGGATTATAAACGTTACAAAATACAGAAAAATATCTTTTGTAATTTTACATTTTGACCTGTATTACATTATGTTTACGTATGGCCTGTTTCCCCACTGGGTTCACCTAAACTTTCATCAGATCCTGTCCCCGCCCCTCTCACCATCAGCCCTCCATGAACGCCACTGCCCCTCAGATTTGGAGCGTATTCTGCCAAATCCACAGACCGGAGCCACTCCATCACTCTGTGGTTGGTCCACTGGGAGATCTCTGCTGGCGTGATGTTGTTCTGGACAACAACGACAAGGGAATACGTTTTTTTTTTTTTTTCTCCTGTGGGAGCTAAATCCGAAACAGCTTTAAAAAGTAAGAGAAGAGTAAGGGTTGTCGCTTTCTGTGTGATACCTCATCAGAGGGTCGTCGCCTGAGACAGTTGGGTTCGTAGGAGTTGAGGCGGAGGACCTGAACGGCCCTTTTGATGCTGAGATGATGGAGAACGCTGCCCACCTTCAGAGACAGCAAGTCATCCTGGGAAACAGCCACAAAAAAAAAAAGTTATCACAAAGTCAGCTGTTTGATCATTTATTCAGTGGGAACATTCAGTCGGAAATATAAAAGATTTTAATTTGATAATTTGCTTAAATGTCAAAGGAGTTTTACAAGCTTTGACACAGGTTCCAGTGAAACAAGGTTTAAAAAGGTTATGGCAGCTCACCACCGTCATGTAGTGCAGCACGCGTCCATCAACACGAGCCTCGTCAAAGTGACTTTTGTACTGCGGGAGGCCGATGTCATCCAGCCACCCTGAAATAAACATCAGTGTTTTATTTTAAATCAAAATGACTACACATTTTTATTAAGTGAGATGACGTCCCACTCACTGGTCACCCAGTTGTGGTCCAGTTTCCCCTTGAAATCGTCCTCTTCTGACCCGAGGGCCTGCAGAGCCAGCTGTAGCTTCTTCCTGTGGAGAGGCTGCTTCATGCACAGCTCCTGATCAGATCAACAGAAAAACAACAATGTCACACCCAGGAAACTTTTACCGACAGCAGCGAGCAGACAGTGGTGGAAGAAATACTCCGATATTTTACGTAAATATAAAGTAAAGTAGAACAGTGTAGAAATAGTCTGTTATAAGTAAAAGTTAACAGTGAGTTTTAGAAGTCTAGATTTGGCTTGGGAAGATAAAAAATATGATCTGAATGGTAAACTTTACTGCTAGTGGGAGCCTCACCTTCTCCAGATCATGCTGTGATGCCTGCAGTAGCGTTTGTCCAGACTTGATCCAGCTATGACACTGGGCAACATACAACCCGAGGCCCTGCTCATGCAGCCACGCACAGACTTCATCTTTACTCCACCGCGAGAAAGGAACATCAACAGCACTGATGGAGAAGGAATATTGATCACAGTAAAACTACTTTCACAAAACAATCAAGTCACAGACATACAGAGGCAACGGTTTCTGAAAGAAGAACTAATTTCAATATTTGCTGGTAGATTTTTTTACACTGTATTACAGGTCACCCCTCTTTGACACCTACTTGTGTTTAGATTCACGTGACCAGCCGAGTCGAGGGCCGGCTGTGGCTCTGACTCCGCCCCTCCTAAACTCCATCTCTGCTGCATCATCAAGGTTGAAGGATGTAGAGTGACTCCTCTTTAGTCTGCGAGAGTATCACATTATAAATGACTAAAAATATTCACGTTGTATATTACTTTAACTACAGCTGACGCACCCTGAGAGTTACCTGCCAAAGAATTTCCTGAAGCCTTTGGACTTCTTTTTGGTTTCAGGTGAGGACGGCAGAGGAGCTCCATCATGGGACTTTCGTGGAGGAACACCGGCTAAGTCCAGGTGCTCTGTGCCTTTACGGTCCGTCTCGGCTGTGAAAATAATTACATATACACACGTTAACATGACAAACGTACTTCAACGAGGCTGGACCACCAACCGCCTCCAAGAACAGATCACCTACAAACAAAACTACAACTACAGAGGCACCACTATGACCCGACGTTAAACTAAAAACAAATATTTTGACTGACCCATGCCGAAGACCAGTTAACTACTCCAGCACAACTTTTCTCACTTACAGCGAATGAGAAATCCTTTACAATTTAACTGGAAAGTACCATCAAATAGGCTTCATTGCAGATGGTTTACAGTCATGGATAAGGGACAACTGGACAGAAACACCTCACACCAGAACAAGATACCAGAAACCCCAGAAAAACAAAATGATGAAAAAAAGTGATTCCCAACTTTTCTTGTCAGATACAAAACTTAAAACTTTAAACTTTAAAACTTAAAGCTAAAATGATTAAATTAAACCATAACAGAAAATAAGTTAAAAAAAAAAAAGGTTGGGAACCACTGATTTAGAGGAAAGTGGGGAAAAGTTCTATCGGAGAGCAGTATGGCAGTATGTGATCATCAAAGTTCACCTACAGTAAGTTAAATGGTCACATTACAGTGTCAGTACTGTCTTTGGTCACATCCAGCTGTATAATCCAGAGCAGCCATACTGCAAGCCAACTCTGCTCTACTACTGTACCTAACGCAGGTGCACTGGCACTCCGGGTGCGATCTTCACAATTTACAGAGCCGTGAGAGAAACATGATCAGTAAAATAATACAATAGTGAAAAATGTGATAAATTCTATGACAGTGTGGTAGTTAGGAGTTCAGTATCACCCAGGTTTGGAGTGCTGGCTGTCTGCTTGCCTGCACGCAGCTTGAAGAAGCCCCGGCCGAAAGATGAACGGGCCTTCTTGGTACCAAAACTCTCATCACTTGTGGCGTTTGCTTTGGTAGGCGGTGAGAAACCTGCTTTATTTTTGGCCTATGAGGAAAAAAAAAAAAAAAGAGGATGTAGTTGCATAATTTAACCACTAGGTGTCAGAGCAGGACTATCTGCAGGACAGGCTCAGTGAGTCCTGTGATTGGCCCTGTGACTACATGGATACTGATAAACGAAGCTAATACACTCTGGCAGTCATTTATTCAACCTACTCACATGGATAAACTCTCCACAGTCAAAAGGTCAAAAATGAAAAATGAGTGTTTATGCAGTTGGAAATAATACGATCATTTTAGGCTCATGTTATTTACTTTTACTGTACAGTCCCTATAGTGTGTCCTGGTCTTACCTGGTCAGTGCTGCTGGTTGTGGCTGAGCTACCCGGCCGTGGAACGTCTAAGGAACTGAAATAACAAGAACAAGTTTTTAAGCTTCAGTCAAGAACACGTGACTTGAAAGAGTCCTGAAAGATCCCCCTGATGACACACTAATCACAGTTCTTAACAATGACACCAATTACGCACAGCATGCACAACAGCATCCTGACTTTGTTTCAATGAAGCAGAACCTTCATTAGTGTCATTGGTAACACCTGTGTTTATCCTACTATTTCATGTCAAAATGGCAGCTCTTGTTTATCCGTACACCACATTGTTTCAGTCACAGACACACTGTCAAATGTCAAACAGAAATTCATATTTTGTGCAGATATGTCACTGTTTAATTCCACCTTTACCTTTCAGCTGCCTGTAACTGTCGTTCTCTGTCCAGTTCGTTCATTTCAGAGAGCACTGCTATACATGGAATAGACTGAGACAACAGACAGCGACGGAGAAAAACATGATTAATTGAACATACTTTCTCAACAGCAGAGCATTTACACAGCTCAAAAAATAATAACCAGAACACTAGTTCGGAATTCCTGGGAGGAACAATTTCAGAGTGGGAGGGCGAAATTGAGCTTTTCTAAAGGAAGTCTACAGTCTGGGGTTCATCCTGTGTGCGAATTGTTTTGACAGAGGTTGTGTTTACCTCGCCAGAGCTCCTTCCTGCCTCCCCCACCAACGCCACGGTGACCTGATCCACCTCCATGGATACAGGAACCGAGGGATCATCTGGGATATCATCATAGTCATCTTCCTTTAACTTCTCTGAGAGAGGACAGTTAGTCACCAGGGATGTAGTGCAGGTTAAACTCAACTAGCTCAGTCAATCTTTTCTCTTTTTAAGTTTGTCCACATTTTTAGGTTGAATTAAGGAAGATAATGGAGTACAGAAACAGAGGGTCTCTCTTCAGTGTAGTTTTCTTGATATTGGTGGTTGTTTAGTGGTCTAAGGGAATCCAAATAATTACTGATTTCACCAGTGTTTATGATACATGGATATGTTTACACTGTCTATACTAACACAGATCTAAAGAATCTAAAGATTTGTATGTATCATCATTAAGAAAGACTGGAGAAAACTGTGTGTGTGTGTGTGTGATATATGGTAGTAGTGGAAATAAGAATGATTTATAAATGTAATTACTTTCCTTTTTACTGCTGGTTTATTATAATACTGCAGTACCATAGCTTACTGTATATTACAGAATGAAACATAAGTGATTGAAACAAGGTTTAGGGTCTTAAATAAATACCAAAAAAGGTAAACTGGTGCAGTGAAGTACTCTCTGCAATCATTTCTTCTATGAGTGCAGTGTTTAGGTCAGACTTCACTATTTATGTTTACAGTAATACAGCCTTTTATAAGTGAATCTTGAGGCCATGACAGCAAACTCTGTTTTGATGTGAATGGTGTTTGGCAGCACTGAAATGGTAATAAACAGTTTATTTTAAAATGTCCTAATTTGACACAGATGTTTTCATTTTGTGTGCTGTGTAGGGCCAACATTAGGAGTACAGCATTTTGTTTTGCATTTGAATTTGATACATTAAAAACTGTGATTCAATGTTGATGTAGTGAGACCAATGAAAATATCATGGTGAGTAAATAATGAGTAACATTAACGTGTATGATCTTTAAACACAGTCGGACCTTTGACCAGCTCCTGCACTTTCTTGCACTTTGTAAGTGACTCCTCCAGCTCCTTTATCCTTCGTTCCTGTAGATAAACACACATCATGTTCCAGTTACGACTGTTTAAAGTAAATCAAAGCAGCTGCTCAGCTGCTGCTAATGACCACAACATCACATCACACTGCACCTTCTCATCGTTGGATGACGCCAGTGACTCCAACACCCTCTTCATCTTCAACACTTCTGTATCTGAAAAAACAAACAGATGTTTTATACTTGTGGGAGGCTTAGTTTCTCTCCCCCTGGCTCTGATGGAGCAGCCTGCTGAAATTAGATATAATGAAGCCACCTGGGCTCAGTGTGCTGGTCAGTAGGACTCTTGTTTCAGCTTGTTATCGCCATGAACTCTTGATTCAATTATCACCACAAATGAACGAAAACAAGAACTTTGTGTGCGTTTCCTAGAAGCACTTGACAATCAAACATGCCAACCAGTCAGTAATCTAATCCAACCATGTTTACCTACAGGGGAAACCTCATTTGAAAGTGTTTGAGAATATCACTACCTTGAGGTAGATGAGTAGGGTTACAGTTTGAAACGTTTTAGATCAATCAGAATCCAATACCGATTCTTCTTTTCAAATTTTAATCCCTTTTCAACTCCATTTAGGTTCAGATTTAACAACTTTAAAGCTGCACTAATTAATATTTTTATATTCAACAATCGGTGAAATGATTACATCTAAATGAAAGGGGTAGTTTCCAGAAATGCACTCACAGAAGGCTATAACCCAACTCCAGAGTTCACCTCAGCGTTACAGAGCATTTCAGTATCTGCTTATTGTTTTGGTTTCACAGCCCGCAACTGTACTGTTTAGGTTCAGTCTTACATTCATCATCAGCATCATTTATAGAATTTGCTGCTGTTGTCAGCAATAATGCTCTGGTTAACCTACTGTACACGACCTGTACAGCACCAAACAGCAGACAGACACAGTTAGCGACTAGCTGGTGAACACATTGGAGCATTTGGCAGCTAAAGAGCCAGATATTTCCCTCAGGAGTTGGTAGAGACCAAAAACAGGGCAAAAGCAGAGTAAATATTGGACAGTGGACTGTAGAAACACAGCAGTTCAACATTGCAGCCTCTGTGTAAGAGGACCCGCTCCCTCTGTAGATAAAACCGGCTCATTCCAAGGTAATGAAAACACAATTCCTCTATTGGTGTCATTATACACTAATGAAAACATACCAATGAATATCAGATTTTATTTCTGCCAACTGATCCCCTAAATGTTACACACTGGACCTTTAATTAAGGAATAATATTATGTTTGAGAACTTAAACTCACAAACTGACATTCAAAACAACTAAAATTTAAAAGAACTAAAATCTGTGTGTTGCTTTTTGCTAGAACAGCTAAGAGATGTATTACACTCTGACACACTCTTTTAACAACAAATGAACCCAGCTAGCAAATTCCTGTTCTGTCAATGAACCTGACCTCTGATCTAAGTCATTTCAAAATCCCTAGTTTTTGCTGCAATCTGCTTTTAAAAAAAACAGACATCTGACCCAGTCAGGGGAGTAGCTTCACAGATCTGATGTTGTCAGTGAACAAACAACCAGCGCCTTTAACCTATATCCGGTTACACTGTACAGAACATTTCTACAGGCAGACAAGTATAAGAGACTCCCCTTTAAATAAATGGCATTCCTCTACCATCAGAGTGGATAAGATAACAGCAGCAGTGGGTGTAAGGAGTAGAACAGTCAGATATGTATGGTATGGAGCCTGCAGGAGGACAGATAAGGAGCTTTAAATCACATCATTATAGTTTAGAATGTGTGTAATGCAAGATGGTGAAGAAATGATTAATGGAGAAATCCAGATGAAGGCAAGGTACCCACTATTTCTCCAGGAAGGCTGCTGGAGGGGGACCTGATGTTGTTGGAATGTGAACTGTCTATTTGTCTAATCCTCATAAACTCTTTTGTAATATCAGAGTCCATGTAACAAGAAGCTCCCAGACAGTTATTAAAACAGATCCCACCTCTCTCTCCTCCCTCAGCTCTGTTGTGGCTCTCCGCCCTCAGTCTGCTCTCATCGTTCAACCTCCTCAGCTCCACCTCTCGCTCCTCCAGCTGCCTCTGCAGAAGCTGCAGCTCCTCCTATAATGAGAGAAGATGTAAAGTCATCATCCTGAAATTCTCATGACTTTATTTTCTGTCAACATGTTTTATGTCTCTTATTTTATTTTAAAGGCCCTTCTAGGGATGGACACTGGAAATTAGCAGCAGCTATAAATGCTGTGATAGACGGCATTGTATATTTGTAATGCAATTCTCCATGTATATTGTATCTATCACTATTAAATAAACATTAAGGGAATGAAATCAGACTATAGACAGATCAACAGAATCAATTTAGTCTGGGTTTTAATTTTTGAATTGTCTTTTTATTTACTAGCTTTTAGGGCCCAGATACAGAGCCTATAAGGCACATACAATATACACAATGTTTACTAAAATTAAAATAAAGATAAAAAGTAAAAAGGTTAAGACCATAAATAATAAATGTAACAAGAAGGCACCCAACAAATGACTATTTTTTTGATGATCAAATTAATAGTTTAGTCTACAAAATGTAAAAATATTACGAAAATATTGTGAAATAAAACACATTATTTATCTATAGTCACACTAGCAGCATAGCGCTACACACTACACAGCTCCACCACTTTAGTCCTGAAATATTTTGCCAATTATTGGATGAATTTGTACACATTCACATGCCCAATACTTCTTCTGACTTTTCATTAAGCGCCATCATCAGGTCAACATTTAATTGTATCGAAAACTTTGGTTTATGACGAAACAGCTGCAAAACACATGACTTTGTGTTTACTGCTAATGAGCAGTGCTAACACACTAAACAAAGATGTTGAACTAGGTAAGCATTATACCTAATGCAAGGCTTCTTAATCTTTTATTATACTTTGGAGTCCTCCTTCAGAGCCACAGAAGACATGACATTTTTACAAGCCAAGTAAGTACTCTTCATGATGAGTAAACTGAATTTTATGTGTGAAAGTGGTGGAGTGACCGTTTTAACACACTAGTAAGAGTTAGTCAGTTAGTTCTCTATTCAACACACTGTGGGTCTTGTGAGATGATTCAGTGGAAGCTTTTCACCAAATCGTGGACACACTGAAAAACTGGACACACATAAAACTACCACAAACGTCTCGTCAAAAGGTGCACATAGAGATTACTGTTCAAAGAACCACTTTGGCATACCGATTAACAAGATGTGTAGTTTCATAATTGGAGAAATATACCACAAAAAGGAAATGCTAATGCTATGTTAAAGCAACTTTGAGTGATTTGAGAAAACAGTATGATTCTGTAGATATACTGTTTCAGTCACAAGGTGTTAATAAGAAATAAAAATAAAAAAAGCTAAAAAAAGAAGATTTGAACCTGGTACAAATCCTGAAACCGGTACAGGTGGAAGCACTTACAGCGAGTGTGGAGAAAGTCAGGAAAGCAGTGTGCAGCAGTGGAGAAGGAGCAGGTTTAGAAGATCTTAAGGGCCAGAAAGGACAAGAGTACAGGCTGGAGATTAAACCTCGTTCACCTCGTCTCCAGTGAACCGCTCAGTGTTCCACTTTGGACGCTTGACAGGTTAGCATGTTGCAGAAAGATGTTACAATCGCAGCAGAAAGGGGGAGGAGGAGGAGGTGAAGAAAAGGGTAAAGAAACGATGTCATGGGGGAAAAAATCACAAGGTTTTAAAACATGTAATGATGCATTTTGAAGGATGGAAATAAATTCTGATCTCCTGTCATGGTCAAATGTAAAACAATCAAGTGTCTGCTAACTGCACTGATCGGCACACACTCACTTTAGTAGCTTTGAGTTTCTTCTCACACTGCAGTCTTTCATTCTCTATGTCAGTCACCCTGAACCGCAGGTCCGTAACCTCCTGGTACAAGCCCTGGGGAGGAGAAAAGAACCCCCATTACCCATTAAACTCGGAGAGAAACCTGCACTGGGGAGGGTTTATTGAGGCTGTGTGGGAGAGAGCTCTGAATTTTTTAACAGGGGGAGATTTCCTGCCAAAAGTACCAAACATTATTTTCAGACTGATGTCCCACTGGAGAGAATTTGAGAAGCTCAGTCCACACAAGGAGACAAATCCTGGACTAAAGGGAAGCGCCATGGTCAATTACTGTGAAACTGCTTTTATCCCAATCAGCAGCAACAGTGTAGGGGTCCTGTGGAGATACTGCCATTAAATGTAATGTGTATCATTAATTAGGAGTACTTTCACATCATTCTCAATCATTCATTCTAAACTTTAAACTCTAGGCTGTTTTCTCTTAGTTCCCCCCCGCCTCCCTTTATTCTTGTGTGTATTCTGTGAGTAAAGCGTCACTTTCATTATACATATACGCTCAAACATCTGGCTTTTTTTAGTATACATACTGATTTTCTCCTATACTTAGGGTTGTTACTTTTCTAGTGGTAACCCACTACATCATCAAAACTAGCTGGGATGAGTATGTGTGGGAAGTGTAAGTGTTTCTAACTTGTGGGCTACATCTGACCCCTGCTTTCCCAATGTTGGCAAAGCAGTGCCCTGAAAAGTCATGCTGCATTAGCTACTACCAGTCCCTGTTTACACTGTAACCATCAATTTAAATCCTGGATTACTTTTAATAAAGACAAGCAGGCATTTGATGGCCACGATGCAATATCTGGAGTTATGAGGAGCACTTTAATAAACAGATTTATCCTGAACAGACCAACTACTTTCAATGAAAAGAGTTATGTGGACAGATTCTGGCAGTATGTGTGTGATGTGTGATGAGTTTTGATTGAGAAGAAGGGTTGAGATTTTTGACACAAAACGAATCAATCAGGTTTTAAAAGGTTGAACAAATATAAAACCAGAACACTAACAGGATGGGTTCTTTGGGGTTAGATTTAAAACTTAATGGAGACTAAATGGAAACAAAAATAAACACATTCAGTTGCATTCATTTCAGTCAACTCCCTTCAGGTTTTTACTGTCTGGAAACACCACATAATATTCCCCAAATGTGTGTCCCGGCTAGTGGACAGAGTGTATGGAAACTATAACTCTCACAGCCTTTTAGCCCCTCAGAGAGGAGCAGTGGTATGGATGTGGGTGGGGGGGGGTTTCTGGCAGGAAACAGCTGCTGGAGCACAAGGGGTGTTTAAGCTTCTTTTGTAACCCTCAAAGAAGTTCACCCTGCTCCACATGACAGATCTCTGAGTCCTCCAGTCGACTGAGACAGACCTTTGTGACTTTAAAACAATGAGTGTGTGGCTGCCAGGATTCAGAGTCACACACCACATATAACAAGGTGCAGGTGCAACTGAGAACTTCAGCTATCTCTGCACCACTTTACATAGCGCACATGTTAAGGGCAGGGTTGTACCTCATTCTCCCTGTGATCTCTCTCCACAGCAGTCAGCTTCAGCTTCAGACTGGACACCTCGGTCATCAGCTCCAGCTTCTGGGTCTCCAGTGCTGACCTGTTCAACAGCTCCTGTGGAGCAAGATGCACACTTGGTAAAGCTGCCCTACATTATTATGTGGAGAGATCACAGTGTGGGCTAACAGTTTTTGATTTAACTGCACAGTTGAGGTAAAGTAACTCTGTAGGGGCCTTACCTGTTGCAGCAGCTCTTCAGTAGCATTTAGTTTCTCCCGGTGATGCTCCAGGCAGGTGTCTAGGTCCCGTATCTTTTCACCTTGGACCTCCACCTGGTCGGTTAGAACACTTACCTAGACAATGGTGAGTTATTTGTTTTAATCACACTCCAAGGTCACATAATCATCTAAAATATATGATTTTGATCATATAAAATACTACTACTATACTAAATAGTACTAAGTAAGTCTGTGTTTACAAAGCCTGATTTATCTGGGAGGTCAACTGAGCCGGACCATTGCACTGAAATGATTAACATGTTATTCTATCACCATTATATGGACATTGCACTCAATTTGGAATGAATCTGACATATACCGCTGCTGTAAAAATCTCAACGTGTGTTAATCCGTCCCTGAAAATAGTTCGCAACAAAATGGTTTCCTGTATAAGAAAAGTTTCCTAAAAACTGCATTCCCGACTGTTTTAGTCAATAATTGAGCCTTTTTTGAAAAATAAACTATTTGTGAAAAAGTATGAAGTCCTTGTGACTAAGGAATCCAGCAAAAAAAAAAGCAACTTTGTATCTATACCTCATGGTTCAAAGTTTTTTTTAAAGTATTCAAGATCCGCCAAATGTCTTCAAAATCTGTTGAGTTGTTTTTGAGATATTCTGCTGACTAACACACAAAACATACAAACAGAAAATGTGTCCTCTTTGGAAGAGGTAATTACTTGAAAGGCAGCCACGTACAATACTACTTAATTGCCCATTCAAGAGTAATTGTTTTGCTGTCTTGTAAATACAATAAAGCATTTTGCTCACAAACCTGAAGAATAAGACACTCTTTGTCACTCTCCAGTCGTGACAAACGTTCTTGGTAAACTGCTTCTGATCCATGGCCGTTAGTCTGAAACGAGAAACAATGTGTGTTGATTTGTGTTGTCTGAACAAATAGCTGTTATTTCTTTTGAGATCAGAGCTAATGAAAAATGAAGGGGGAAGGCCTTTAGCTGTCATGTTGAAATACGGGTCTAGCTGAGAAGTTCAAATGAAAATGCATGCCAGCCTTGAGCCACATAGATTTTCTAATGGGTGCATACCACTTAAGTGTATAACCATATAACCTCCCTGATTATAAACTTACATGCTTTTCCCAGATATGAGAGTTGAGTTTTCAGAGAAACATGTGAGGGTCAATAGTGTGTCTCACATGAAAGTGATTTGAAAATTGAATCAAGAGCAAACTCTACTCTCAAATATCACACATGGATGGACGAGCTGTGAGGGAAGAAAAACAAGAGCCCGGGCCTGAGTCAACGTGAGTTTGGAGGATGGAAACTATTTGCAGCAGGACTCCTATAGAAACTCCATCATTCACGAGGCACGTCATAACAGCACTTTCACTATAAACAGTCACGGTGTAGGGAATGGCGCACGATCAAGAGATACAAAGCAGGATAATTCATACCAGGCTATGTCTTAAAACTTGACCATACAAAGACAGTGATACTATCACAGACGTGGAGTGCAACATACAATTGGTAAAATGTGACAGTTCTTTATCAGATCTGGACAAAAGTACATTTCTCTCTCTGGTCAGTCACAAGGAGAATCAGAGACCCCATTTACAGATTGGACAGCAATCAGACAGCAATCAGACATCAGAGAGTAAATGCAGCCAAGAAACACTGGAGACGGATTGCAAAAATAACCAGAGGAAGTCATTTGAGACACATTCTATCCAGATGTTGAAAAGGTGTAAAAGCATCCATGTCTCCAAAACACATTCATAATCTTTACTCCTCCAAGTGGAACTACGTTATCACTGTCGATCCCATGTGATAATGACAGCTGATGTTATACTGGGATTGTACTGAAGTTAGCTGTTGTTCACCCAGTCTAATTAAAGCGATACCAGAAAGTAGCTCCAGGTGATTTCAACACATACGGTTTTATAGAAGGCCCACTGAGTTGGTGTAACTCTTATCTGATCCCTGATAGCTCAATTACTGCATGGTGAGAGGGGGATATGAAGATGATAAAACTTTTCTCTTGACAATATGTATAATTTTAATACACACTGAGTTTTCTTTTTCAATCTTTTGATGTTTGTGTATGAATTGTGTTATAAATCTGCCTTGTCGTGTCT